ATATAATAATTGTTGAAACGCACATTTTTATTTTACAGATATCTTACTATATTTTTAAGCTTTAAAAAAAGTAGTTTTAATATTAGAAAACAACGCGCCAATGCAAATTTGCAAACAGTTCTTTCGCAATTTGTATTATTATATTGAAATAATTACGTTAAAATTTTGTTTGTTAGACTATCTCAGATTCTCGAATAATGGATTTATTCATGGTTCAAATTCAACAAGATTGTCTGCATTTAGACGCTGAGTACAGTATGTGGCCTCTTAGTTCACAAATCAACAGTTCTTTTGAAATTCCTTATTACATCAGAGGTATAGTAAATTTAATTAAAATTGCCATGCAAGTAAATTCTTAAATATAAAATTGAATGTCGTGAAAGAATAGGTAAAATTAATAATAAAACTATATACTTAAATATATATATGTAATTTTATGTTTATATATATAACAAATCATTTTCTATTAGCTATGTTAACAATTAAATACAGGCATTGTAATATGTAATTACGTGTATTGTTATAGCATCCGTTATATTGCATATGTTGCAACACACAGTTGGCAAAGAAGCATTTTGGAAAGGTATCCGTACATATATATATGACAAGTAAGTAATATACTATAATATAATAGTTACATACGATTGAATTAAACATGTAAAATATATATACAATAATAGTTCTATAAAAAATTTTAGTTATTGTGTTATTTCGTAAACGGTAAGCTATATGTATATGTGTGTATGACAAACAAAAAATACATTCTGCATCGAATGTATCTACTTTAATATCTTCATTGCTTCATTGTTCTTTATCTGATTGACACTCTGGTTGTTTTACTCTTTTTATTTTTTATTTTATCTAAGAAAGCAAATTTCTAGGAAAGCTCAAACTTTTCTATTTCACAACTTAAGGCACAAATGCCTTTAAGTCTTTTGCGCATTTTATGTTTTCTTCTCATTTTTTTTCTTCTCTTTTAATATTCAATTTTTTATTTTCGCTCTATAAAGCAAAAGCTATAATTTTCTTGTTTTTTTTTTTTTTATTTGATTTTAATTACAACATGTGTTTAGATTACATTAATCACATTTACATGTTTATTTATTTCTTGTGACTTTAATTAAAAGAGAAAAAATTTCGTGTTTCGATCTTTATCATATTGTCATCTAAGATGTAATAAAGTGCAACTTTCTCTTGTATATTATATGTATATATAATATGCAAATATAAATAAAAATATAATTTTATATTTTCTAATGCAATAGTTTACTCATTGTTTATGTTGTCAACAATATTAAAATTTGCAATTTTAGTACATATAAGTGGGGCGCTTCTAACGATTTTTGGACAGCTATGCAAACTGGCTTCGATAAAATACCATACTTTCCATTTGAAGGATTTAATATAACAAAACAAATGGATCCTTGGATCAAGCAAAGGCATTATCCCGTCTTGAAGGTGATACGAAATCCTGGTGGTTTTAAAAATATAACACTAGAAATTCTCAATACATCAAATAATTGGAGCATACCTCTAACGTATACTACGCAAGCAAATATCAATTTTGAGGATACCTTACCTGAGATTTGGTTAAATATGTCAGATATTGGAAGGCGTGTGTATATTTTGGATATTGCAACTAGCAGTTTTGATAAAGAGCTTAACGAGTCTGAATGGATAATATTCAACGTAAAACAAACTGGTAAGTATTAATAAATAGCAACTATTTTTCACTACAAATGCAATCAAAATTTCTTTGAGATACTTTATTTTTATGTTACGCATGTTTGAAAATACGCACATAATAATGCATATTAGAATGTAATATAGACATTATTTATATTACAAATAATAAAATTAATTTATGTAACGAATTAATTTGAATGAATACAATATTTTTGGCGCAATTTAGATCTTCACAAAACAATCAATTATAATAACAACATAAAAAGTTTTGTATTATTAATAATTATTAATGTATAATTTTTATAATAATACAATTATTTTACATTTGGTACGCTAATTCTATGTTTAATACATTTTTAATGCGCTTTAGAAAAGTATATATTTAGATATTTAAAAAAATTGTTAATAAATTTATTAAAAAAATAACTAATGATAAAATTTATTGTTGTTTATCAGGATATTATAGGATCAACTACGATGCTAAAAACTGGCAATTAATCTCGGATTACCTAGATTCGCCGCATTTCATGAACATACATGTTCTCAATCGTGCTCAACTTATCGATGACGCGTTTCACTTAATGATAGCACGCCAACTCGATTCTTCTATATTCTGGAATCTCACGAGATATTTACATCAAGAGGAAGATTATGTGGCATGGTATCCTATGTTCAAAGCTTTGGAACAAATGTCGAGTGTTTTTCAATTACAGGATCCAGAAGTTGATGCTATTAAGGTAATTATTAATTAATTTCTAGTTAATAAAGATGTCACATATTAGAAAGTTGCATGTGAAACATATTTGCTATAATTCAACATACAAACATATAGATAATATATAAAAGTAAACAGTCCAGAAGTTGATGCTATTAAAGTAATTATTAATTAATTTCTAGTTAATAAAGATGTCACATATTAGAAAGTTGCATGTGAAACATATTTGCTATAATTCAACATACAAACATATAGATAATATATAAAAGTAAACAGTTTTTTAGAGTACGCATAGTGACAAAAACGAATATTTTATATTGTTTAACGATTATTAGGAAAATATGAACAAAATATTGAATACACTGCTTCAAAAACTTGAATATGATGAAGTTGTCGAATATTCAGGCCCGATCAAGAAATACGAGAAAGATTTTAGAAAATCTTTAAGACAAGAGGCTGCAAAATGGGCATGTCTTCTCGGTGAAATCAACTGTAGAAACAAAGCCTCCGAGATATTGAAAGAAAATTGGCTATTTCCAAACCAGTAATTTTTCTTATATATTCACAATATTCTTTAGCTACGGTTTTTCGTATCTATTGTAATATGATGTTTCAGATCAATTATTTCATCAAAAAATACAAGACTGTAGGTTAAACTTTTCTAACAGAATTTTATTTTTGTATAGTATTATGATATGGTGGAGGGAATGGACTTACTGTAATGGTTTAGCCGTGTCAAACTCCACTTGGTCAAATATATACAAGACATGGGAAAGAACCTATGATAACAGACTTTTCAAATTATTGGCTTGCGCTGAACCTAATACTATCAAGACATATCTGACTCTAATAACAAGTGCAATTACATTTCAACAATTTAGTAATAGTAAAACATTAGAATTATTAACCAAAGGTTTTATTGATAGTTTCCCCTTTATTATTGCAAAAAATATAAAAAATAAGGTTATGCTTTCATATATATTATATCATGTTTTATATTTTGGAGAAGCCAGTGTAATGCCCAGGTAAAAATTGTGTGATATTTTTATACTATTCTTAATCACGATAAAAGTTTGTTATCTGTATACTTTTTATTTTGTTTCTATAGCAAACTTAACATGATTGCAACATTAACTATTATTATCAATCATGTATATTCTAAGCTAGGACTTAACGTGGTAAGTATTTCATGTAAATCTATTTACGTAAAATGTAATATATATTTTGTAAATTAAATTAAATTAAATTTATATATGTTTGGTCACAGATAGATTTATTCCTATTAATTGACAAAAAAACTGCAAGCTATGTGTAATTTATTATTAAATTTATGATTATACTTAAAAAAGACATACATAAAAAACATAAATTTAGAAGTTTTTTTTATGGTATATTGAAGTTTATGCGCACAATATATAATGCCCTTTCCAGACGCTTAAGCGATAAACTTTAATATTATTAAAATTACCCCCTTATTTTTTGCCTTTATTTGTTACCTTATTTTATTATTTATTGATAATAAATATCCATACAATCTGTTTTAGGAACGCAAAGTTTGGGAAAATGTGGCGCAACATGTAAGCAAAATTTATAAAAAAATACAAAAACGTAAATCCGAAATTGAAAGCCAGAAGAAGTATCTACAGAGCTTTAAGCTAACCAAATAATAAGAAAAAATAACAATTGTGTAAGATGTGCATATATTTGCAAATTATTTTTTTATTTCATAATTATTTCAAATTATGTATACATTTAGATGCGTTAATAGTGTTCGATGCATTCGCAAGTATGTTTTACGATACACAACTCACCAATTTTCTTATCATTTTATAAACATAAAGCAGTTGAACTATGCATTTAATTACGTAAACGAAAGAGTATAAGAGTTCTTAAGGTTTACAAAATTAAATGAAAATATGTCGAATACCATTCATGCACTCATAAATGTATTTATCTACTTTAAATAATTTGTCTTCTTGTGATAATATGTAATTTGTATAATGTATGATTAAGTATATAATATGTAGTATGAATAATTTATTATTAGTATTTATTAATAATGCATAATATTATATACATAAATATTAAATATATTAACTTTTAAAATATTTTTAATTTATTTTTAGTATCTTTAATATATTTTTTAAAAATTATATTAATTCTTTAACCTTATATTATATATAGTATTCTCTTTCTATCTCTCAATACATTTCTGTAATTAACATTTTAATTTGGTTGTTTCAACGTAAAACTTGTTTGGAAGTATTTCTAAATGCGTGTTATTTTTTAGACTAAAAATATTTCTGATTATTATACTAATTTTCTAACTTTGCTATTTGTTTTTTAAAAGCATAGATATATCTACACGTTGGTCTTAATAATTTTATTAAAGATTTAATTGTGTTAAACATTCAGAAGATATGTGCTAAGATATAGTATATATGTACATTGTGTTATTCAACAACTATAATACTTACTTCTACCTATAATCTATAAAAATTTTAGCATTTAAGAAAATGCAATTGCATTTCATTTTTTATTACTATATTAGAAACATTAATAAATTCTTCTAACTGTTATTACACACCTACACTGGTCTTTTTTATCCAACATTTAACTATAAATATTAAAATAATATAAGATATTTCTGTCTCCTCTTCTCTTGACTGTTTACGTGTTTTTCGAGATAAATTGCTTTAAATTGTGTAAATAATGTCAGTTTGTTATTGGACAATTTTTGATTGCGTTTATGGACTAACAATAAATAAAAAATATGTTATATATATATATATATATATATATTATATATAACGAACTCAGAAGTTTTGTTGACATAAGATTATATTTATTGCGATGACACGTAGAAAGTGTCGTTAGTCTTTGATGATCTTTCGATACGGTACATATATAATAGTTATAATAATGTATATGTGAATAGTATATATTTCCATCATTACATATAGCTAGTGGCAATAAAAAGCATTAATTTGTTGCAGTTAATTTTTATAAACGGTTGTATACTTTTCCAATCGACATACATTATCCTAATATATAGGGTAAGTTATTAGAAATATAGAGCGTATACTTATATTTATCTACAAATACAACAAAATTTAAATATACAATAAAATGGAATTTAAATATTTCCAAGACACAAGTACGACAAACATAGTTTTATTTTCTTAAAGTCATCTTTGAGTTTTAATATAGAGATAATTTTAAATATGTATTATAATATTTTACGATAATATAATGCTGAAATAATTTTCGACTCATAGAACTTCAAAATCGAATAAAATGGTCTTTTGAAATTTAAAAATATTATATTTTACGTAACAGATAATATATAAATACAAGACTAGGAATATCTAATCATTATCTATTAATTATTACTAATATTAAAATTCTATTTTGTTCTTCGCATTTTATAACAGATAATTACTGCTAGTGTAATCTTAAAGTTGAGATAAATAGAAATGTATCAAGAAAAACAAAAACTAAACCAAATATTAAATTTTGTTATTAAAAATAAGGTATATGTATAAGAAATATAAATAGAACAATTGTTTTCGATCTGTATTCAATCGTCTATTATGAGATAATATATTAAAAAATTTAATTTTATCAAATGACGGGCAAATATAAATACAACACATAATAAATAAATGAAATTGTATTGTTACAGATTTAATATAATTTTTCATCAAAGTTGAAACGCTATTAGATATTTATAAAAAATAATTAATAATCAATTTAATTCTTACTTATACAATTAAACCAATTTAAAACATTACACATATTGATAGAATATACAGAAAAATATATATCATCTCAATTAGAGAGATCTGGTAGACATAATGTCATGTCTATAAGATTATATCTTTTCGTAACTTCTTATGAAAATAAGGCTGGTAGAATGCTGATCCTTGTAAAAATTGCAATCATTATTAATTATCAATTAAAAAATGTGATGGGATATTTTAATTGTAGAAGAAATCCGTAATAAATTCGAAACAATTGGCGCGCGGCCCATATGTGTTGATATGTTTCGATCGTGATACATCTGAAAATCATGACTTATATTATATTCAACACAGTTTTATAAATAATACAATTGAAAATTTGATTTTATTTTAGTTATATATTCTGCGAATTTGTTCGTTTAGTATATATATACACATTTTAAGGGAATAACACAGACAGACTATCAAAGAAATATGTCAACAAATATGTTCTTGTATTTATTTTAATGTTTATATACTATCACAGTACGTATAAAGAGACATCCGAGATATATTTTATTTCTCTATTTATTTCTTTCCTAGAAAGTTTCTGCAGATACATGAATATATGATACAACATCGACATGATACTCTTGAAACTATTAATAAGTAGCGGATTAATATTTATGACCGCGACGGCTTTTTATCCCGATGAAGCTTCATCCAAGCTATTAAATTATATAAAACCAAAGCATTACGATATCAAGCTTATACCATTTATTGAAGGACAGATTTTCTACGGCGAATCCAATATCAGCATTAACATTCTTTATGAAACGCAACATATAAACTTATATTCAGAAAAACTGTGCATTAGTAGTATGCTTCTAAATGCGAATCTAGAAGAATCTGATAAAGAGAATAAATATATAGTTTATAAACCGATATACACACAGAATATTGAAACGCCTATTCTTGACATTTATTTTAAGGATAAATTACCACCAGGAAATTACACTCTAAATATAAAATATACCGGTTCTGTAGCTAATGACGGAGGTCTCGAAATTTTCAGCGTAGGTGGGCATAATAAAAATATAACGTAAGTAAATGATAAATGTCTATTAAACAGTACAATGTATAATTACAACAAAGAAATTTTTTTTTTTTTATTTATTTTCTTAAAATATGATAGTTGGCTGGCCGCTACGATCTTCCGTGCAACTGGCGCTCGACGATTGTTTCCAGGCTGGGACAAGCCTGATTTAAAAGCAACCTTTAATATTTCTGTAATGCATTATAATCAGTACATGGTTCTGTCAAATATGCCAGTGCAAAGAATGGAAAATCGTCAACACAAAATGATGTGGACATACTTCGATATCACTCCTGCAATGTCCACTTATCTCGCAACAATTATTATGACTGATTTATACCGTATTTATAGTACATCTGGAGATGTCAGTATGTGGTGTAGACTTTATACCGCATCTCACTTGATGTTTGCAGCAGATGTAGCTGGAAATATTACGCTATTTTTGGAAAACGAATGGAAACGCTTCCCGAATATTTCGAAAGCGGAACATGTCGCATTTCCAAATTTCGAAAAAGAAATTATGGTGCATTTAGGAATCATTCTTTATAGGTGAGTACATGTGATTAAAAAGACAAAGAAATGTTATTTATAAAATAAATATTATAAAATAAAATAATATTGCAAAATTGTAATATTTAAAAATAGCATATCTTTTATTTGAATCTTTGAGGGTTTGAAATGTTGAAAACAATGACAACCTTAATAAGAATTAAGTTTATTCTTATCATTTAAAAAGTTAAATTTTATTGTAGAAAAAAAAATACATATATATAAATATATTGATAATGTATATATGTATAAATACATTATTAGGTATATTTACGAGATTAGCAAATTTAGATTTTAATGTTACAATTATGCAAATTTAATTTTTAGATTTTTAAAAAATTTTCTTTATTAATATATTAAACTATTGAACACTACAAATGTACAATAAACGATTTTTAATATAAAGAAACATTTAAATTTAATTTTCAGAGATTTATTTTTTGTTTCAGTGAAACAGATATTACTTATGATAATATGACAGATCCTGTTGCACGCAAATTCCAAGTAGCTCGATTAGTAGGACCTAAAATGATAAAGGAATGGTTTTATAATGTGATCAAACCATTTTGGCTGCCTTATTGGTTAAACGAGGGTTTTGCTACATTCTTTGGAATATATGCTGCCAATAAGGTTGTTTTTAATTATTTCCAACGCTATTTCACTTACTCGAAAACAATACAGTATTTAAGTATACATATTATATATTGCAAGCTTTTCATAAATCAACTATTTTTTACAAAATACATAAACTTTTATAAAACATTGTCTTATAAACATTTATTATACAAAAAAAATTTAATTTTTTTTGAAAAAGATTTATTTTAAGTATTTACACTATGTATACCGTAACAATGTAAAATTTATTCTTAAAATTTTATTAGATTTATTTTATTAGATTATTAAAGAGAACTGTGTATAATATAATCTCAGTCGCCAATGATTTCGAAAATATTTAGTTTGTTAGTTATATTAGACATAATTTTAGATCTTACCATTATTCATTTTTAAATGTTTTTGAAGATGAAAAATAACTTCTTTTTACGTAGAAACGTAGAAAATAGTAACTCTAATGTTTTATTAGTGCTAATATGTTGCTAATGCAAGCATGCCCAGCGATTTTATATTAATATAACAAAAATTTTTTTTCCAGACATTCCCAGATTATCGAATGATAGATTTATTTCTTGTCCAAGTTCAACACGATTTCCTCCGTTTGGACGATGACCATGTGGGGCTTTTTACATCACATTTCAACAACTTATCTAAAAGTCTTTATCACATCAAAGGTATAGCAATATAAATTTTAATAATAATTATCCGCGTAAATTTTTAAATATACATATTAGAAAAAAAATATATACAGTTAAAGATAAATAATTGTATTGTATAGTAGTTTGATTATTATTTACTGTAACCAGAAACGGTTTTATTTTATATTATATAAAAAATATCTCGCACAATTTAATTTTTTGTATGCTATTTTAATTATCAGAGTAACAATTTTATAATTAATATTTTAAATTTATATTTGTTATTTTTTTATGATATAGTCAATTTTTAGTACATTCTTAATGTATTTTTTATATAAATAACAATATGTGTGTGAACAGATATATGAAAAAAAATATTATGATAAATTTATTTGATAGAATAATGATTGATAAAATTTCTTTATTGTTTGACAGGATATTATCGCGTGAACTATGATGATGAGAATTGGCGAAGAATTTCGAATTATTTAAATCTTGAAAATTACATGAATATACATGTTTTAAATCGTGCCCAACTTATCGATGACGCGTTTCATTTCATGCTAGCACGCCAACTCAATTCTTCTATATTTTGGAATCTCGTAAGTTATCTAGAGCGAGAGACAGATTATGTGGCATGGTATCCTATGCTCAAAGCTCTGGAATACATATCGAGTGTCTTTCCATTACCGGAGAAAAATGTGGATGTTATCAAGGTAGATATTAATAAATTTCAATAAAGATATTATATTCTAGATTCTAGATGTTTACATATAAATATAATGGCTTTATATTAATATTTATCAAGCAATTTGTAAAAAAAAATAAAATACGTGCAGCTGAAGAAATTTAATTATATTTTCTCAAAAATTTGTTTTATCTCATTTAATAATACAAAATTAGTTATTGAAGTAGTTAAAAACTTTATTATCTTTTAAATATCATTAATATTTCGCAATAATCAAAGCATATTTTTGAAAGACAATTATATCTTTTTAATAACTTGTAATAAATAATTAAATATAGAGAAAATTGATATACTTTATAAAAACTTTTCAGAGAGAGCTGTGACAATAATATTATTTTTAAAAATCTGAAGATTATTTCTTTTAAATATCATAAATATTTCGCAATAATCAAAGCATATTTTTGAAAGACAATTATATCTTTTTAATAACTTGTAATAAATAATTAAATATAGAGAAAATTGATATACTTTATAAAAACTTTTCAGAGAGAGCTGTGACAATAATATTATTTTTAAAAATCTGAAGATTATTAGCGATATATTATTTTTGTGATTGTGTCATTAGTACGAGAGATTAAATAATCTATCATAAGAAAAAACAGAAAAGATATATATATATATATTTTATATTTATTCTACATTATATGAATAGTAGCTTGCTTTAATTATGCAAGAATTTAGATCGTGTTGGATTCTTATAATGCGAGATTAGATTACTTATTTATTATTAATGTAATGAAATGATGTTTTAGGTAAACCAAATTTTGAGAATTATGGACCAATTAAATAACACAATCGAAAGCAAGATAAAAATTCGATGCGACCAAATCGATAGACAGGCAAAGTACTTTGAGAGTTTTCTAATAATCGATTAACATAATGGAAAATAGCAATTCTGCATACGTATACATACCACGTGTCGTAGGAATAACTTTTTTATATAGTATATATTATTTCTTTTATTGCTTTAATTATATGTATATTTAGGCGTATTAATACTACTCGATGCCTCTGCATTCACAAAGACACTTTATAGCACGTACATATATTTTTCATTTCTCTGCAAACATGAAATAATTAAATCGTACTGTTACTTATAAACAAAAAACAAAAAAGTATTGGTTATAATATTACAGCAAAACTTCACTGTTGAATATAAATATGCTGGACGTGATTAATACAGTGGAAAATGTGATATCTATTTATTTATATTGTATATTTTATTTGTCTTTAATTTTTTCAATATGTATTTTATTAATGCATGGATTAATAATGCATATAAATATGTATATATATATAACATATTATAACTTTAATATTCTAAAACATTAATATTAATATTTATATATACAAAAACGATATTCTATGCATGTAATTAATATTTAAATATATTAATGCATACATATATATGTATATATATATAAATAAATATATGTATGTATATACATGCAAGTTATAATAATAATAGACGGATATTTTTTCTTTGTAAAATTGCTTAATTCGGGTCTTTCTAAGACTGCCCGTTTTGTAAGAGAATATGGATTTTTTTTAATTATTTGGTCTCTTTGTTTAAAGCTATATTATAATTATTATAATTATATACAGTTCTATTAATAATAAAATTGCTATTTTTTTAACTGTACGAATATAAACTTCTCACAAAAATTAGAGGAACACTTAATTTTTCTTAAAAAATAGGCAAAATTCAGACTGTAACTAACTGTAACTTTGTTAAAGATGAATGAAATTTAAATCCAAAAAAAAGATTTTCAAAGCTTGAAATCTCTATTTTTGAAAGGTCACTATTTTTTTGAGTTTTTGTGAATTTGATAATTTTTACATGTGGAAAACTACGAGCTGGACAAAATGGGAAATCTTCTATCCATTTCGTGAACCGATCATGTGCCCCAAAAAAATCTGCAAAAATTTACGACTTTCTAATGTGAAAGCTTAAAGTCTTCCCTACCAAACCATTTTTTAAAAATATTTCTGAGATTTTTTATTACTAAGTTATCGCGGATTAAATAAAAAACGAGCATTTTGACTTTGATTGCTCATAACTCCGTTAAAAATCATCATACCGCAATTCAAAAAACAGACTGTACATGAATCATCTAATAAAGTTGGTAAAATTGATGGAAATAGAAAAAGCGATGAAAAAAATGCCGTTTATTTGTATAAGTGTGTAAGAAAAACTAAACTCTCTCTGTAAAATATTTTTTTTTAACAGCTTGCGTGCGTTTTGAAATAAATTACTTAGAATTTATATTTTAAATACGAATTTATTTTTATTATGTGCTAATATCTTATAACGTTTATTGTACGTATGACCAAAAATATATATTTACCATCTTAGAAGTTGTTGACATAACATACGTATTTATTGTAATGTCGTATATCGGACATCTTTGTTAGTCTTTGATGATCTTTTGGAATGGTAAAATCGTAGAGATTACAGTGTGATAGTGCGTCGATTGATTGCAATTAATTATTACAAAGAAACGTACACCTACAATGTGGTATACATATCTCAATATATAAAGTGAGTTATTAGAAATGGAACTTCTATTTTCTCTCTTTCTTTCTTTCTCGTACATGTTTAAATATCTAGGCTTACAAAAATATAAAGTTAAGCAAAATGCTTAAGCAAAATATTTTTAAGATTTATATTTATTTTACGTCAGCGATACTATCTATCAGTAGAAAAATTGATATTACCAGAATATATTTAAGAGGTTACATTTATTTTTTACATCATAGATACCAAATATAATATGAAGATGTTTATTTACTAGCTAATAATATATTAAAAATATGACACCACTATTTATTCGGTGGTATACATTTTATAATTAAAGTTTACTATATATATATAGTGTTTAAATTTACATTGAATTTAAAGTAACTGTATAATAACAACGAACAACAAATATTAGATATAAATAGGAAATTGTAGAAAAATATTAGAAAACTTAAAAAATTTTAAAAATACGCCTGTTTTGTTTTCGGTGGACCATGCTGTATACTAAGATAAATAGAAGAAAAGGAAAAAAGAATAATTAAAGAATTAATTAAAGAAATAATTAAATTGATTCGATTTATTTATGAGAAAATGTATTAAATAAAGTTTAAATACATTTAATCTCATTAAATAAGTAATAACTGAACATATATACAACACAGAATAAATAAAGAGAACTATATCGATTGATATAGGACAGATACAGACGGAATAAAATATACAACGTATAACTTTCAAAACGCTTATAAAACAATATTAACTTATAAAACAATATATTGAATCACATAGCTTCAATTTTTTTTGTTGCAAATTCAAAGCGGTTTTCAGTCAAAGCTAAAAAGTCTTACTGAATTTTAAAATTAATAGTTAATAATTTAAGTTTTCGTTATAATTAAATGTAAGTTTTTATTTCGTAAATAAAAATTTATATATCGAAATATATTTATCGAAAATATTATCTCAATTAAATAAGTTTGGCAAAGAAGAAAGTTCTATGCTAAGTTTAGTTTCCATATTTATTCTCTTTCTAACAATGGAATGTTTCAGCAGATACCTGAAGCAAAAATTAACATGATATTTCTAAAACTATTGTTAAATAGCTGTATAATATTTATCGCTGCAAAAGCTTTTCTTACTGACGTCCAAATTGAACAATATGAAAAATATTTACACAACATTCACAACATAACACCAGAGCATTATGATGTACATTTCCAACTTGTCCAACCAGATATTGTACAAAATATTTTTTATGGCAAATGCAATATTAGCATCCAAATTCTTGTACCAACGCAACATCTTCAATTGTATTCAAAAATTAAATGTATAAAGGAAATAATTGTGACTGATAAACCGAAATTTCACGAGTATGACAAAAAAAATACTATTTATCCGGTGAAATATTTCTATAACGATACAAATGAAAGTGTCGACATTTTTTTTATAAATTTGATATTTCCGGGACGTTACATTTTGAAAATGAAATATTATGGTATTATAAGTGATGATGATGCAAAGTCAACAACTATTTATAAACGAAAAGATGAATGGTGAGTAACTCTTAAAATGCTAAAAATATATGTATATATCATTAAATTAGATTGAAACTTGACGTGATCAGAAATCCCACGGACATTTATAATGCTTTGCGTGAAGTTTGTGGTAATCAAACAGTATTTCGGTATTTAGAAAAACGATTTGCAGAACAGAAAAATTTCGACCCGATCAGTCTCTTATTGCTTGACTGCTGCACAGAAACAGAGAACAGACTCGCCTGGACAATGCAACTTTGCTACAAACTTCATGCAAAACACTGTGAATGTCTGTTGGATTTTTGGCCACGTAAAGTTTTAATCTTGATGTACGATCGTTGATCTTTATGCGTCATACTTGAGATCTTTGCAGAATCCATTTTTAACATTTGTCAATTTACAATGAACACGTACTATGGAAGTTTTTAAGCCACGTATCTTCCTTAAGATCTCCGCTACACTGTCCAAAAATTTCATTGGGGTTGCATTATCCAGTCCGCGGCATTACCACATTGTGCCTTACTTATGAAATGACCCTCGTACATGCGTATAAACGATATATACATATATATAAATCAGTACTCTTAAACTATTATAATAAGTTTTATCATAATATGCATAAAAAAATGTATGAAATAATTGATATATTAACATATTATATGATAATTTTGATGTATTAGTTAATATAAAAAGCTTTCTTTGTAATATTACTTTTATTTTCTGAAATATGTTTTATAATTCTAAAAAGATCGCTTACATTAAATTTAGAACATTAAAAATAATTATATTTATTTCAGAATAGTATAAAGATATATTTCATATTATTCAGTGTAACACAAGACATTATATTGAAGCATAATAATAGTAAAAACGTCAAAATATTATTTTCTATCCACTATTCCTACGAATCTCATTTGCATATGTATATTCTCTGTATCTCCAATTTCTAATATTTCTTTGTAATAGTTGAAAATTTATTGTTACCTAATTTTTGTACTTGAAATATATAATAATAGGTGGTTAATACCAACGCATTTCGATGTACTTGGGGCTCGACAAGTCTTTCCATCCTTGGGCGAATTTTTTCCAGCCACCTTTAACATTAGTATAAGGCATAATGACCCTCGTACATGCGTATAAACGATATATACATATATATAAATCACACAGAACTCTTAAACCATTATAATAAGTTTTATCATAATATGCATAAAAAAATGTATGAAATAATTGATATATTAACATATTATATGATAATTTTGATGTATTAGTTAATATAAAAAGCTTTCTTTGTAATATTACTTTTATTTTCTGAAATATGTTTTATAATTCTAAAAAGATCGCTTACATTAAATTTAGAACATTAAAAATAATTATATTTATTTCAGAATAGTATAAAGATATATTTCATATTATTCAGTGTAACACAAGACATTATATTGAAGCATAATAATAGTAAAAACGTCAAAATATTATTTTCTATCCACTATTCCTACGAATCTCATTTGCATATGTATATTCTCTGTATCTCCAATTTCTAATATTTCTTTGTAATAGTTGAAAATTTATTGTTACCTAATTTTTGTACTTGAAATATATAATAATAGGTGGTTAATACCAACGCATTTCGATGTACTTGGGGCTCGACAAGTCTTTCCATCCTTGGGAGAATTTTTTCCAGCCACCTTTAACATTAGTATAAGGCATCATCGCAACTACGCGGCTTTATCAAATATGGCGGTACAAAAAGTGGAAATTAATAATGCAGACATGGCGCTCACACACTTCGAAACCACACCTGTATTGCCCACTTATCTCATAGCAGGGATGGTGACTAATTTCTATCGCAACTCTACTAAAAATATGAATACAAATGTGTGGTATAGAAATTGTTCCGCAATGCACATGGTATTTGCACAGAGAGCTATCGAACGTATCACATTGTCCTTGGAAAGCGAATGGAAACTAAGGGTAATTTCAAAATTAGATCATGTTGCGATTCCAAAGTTCCAAGACAAAGGTATGGTAAATTTGGGATTAGTTCTTTACAGGTAAGCACATAGTAAAAAAATATATTAATTTATTTATAAAATAATTATTAATATTCTAAATTACAATATTAAAATATATATGCTCATTTTATCTGTGAATTTGTTTAATTAAAAACAAATATAATTATAATAAAACAGTAAGTTTTTACTTTTAGCATTTAGTAATTTAAATGCATATCTTAATAAAAACGTATATTAATGTCAGTAAATATATGCATAGTATTCTAAAACTACTGTATCTCCTCTTAATAGCAGATTCCTTAGAATATTTCAAGACGAAAATCCAAAAATGTCGGAGTTATAATAGTTTTTAAACGGGAAGTGATTATATTTTACGAATGACAGAGCTGAAATTTTGCGCGCTCAGGCACGGCGAAATGACAAGTGAAAAAAGTGCTTCTATGAATGGAGCGCTTTTTGTATGATATTATGATTGTCGTATAAATATATATATACAATAACATTGTCATTATATGTTTTCCCGCTTCTCTATGCATTGCATTACATTCTTTTTACAAATAATGGATGCAATAACTAAAGGCATCTCAAAAATGATTTAAGTATAAATTTGCGATATGTTTCAACTTTAGTTGTCAAAGTGATCGATCAATATGTTACCATGAAGATATCTACTATTTTGCCGTGCCTGAGTGCTCGAAATCTCAATATATGTATATATATATAAATATTATTAAGTTGCTGTTATATGTATTATTAATATTTTATATGTTATTAATAATTTTATAAGTTATCTAAAACTTGTAATAGAGATTGGCATTCTTTAATTTATAATAAATTATATGACATAATCCTCTCTCTCTTTCTCTTTCTTACATTATTTATATATTTCTATATACTTGTTTATATACACTTTTATATAACTGAAATTTCCATTTTATCATTGCAAACATATATAAACACACACAAAAGAAACGCACGCACGCACGCACGCACGTACGCACGTATACATATCACATATAATGAAAAGCAAACATCAAGTTATTAAAAATGTTCTATATATCATAACGAAACGGAACATATTTTTATTTTCTATTCTTTCTCCATCCGATTTACTTAAGACAAGATGTTGAAAAAAATTTTAATTTAATTTTATCAAATAAATAATAACCAAACATAAAAATACAATACATTATAAATAAATAAACCATTGATTTATATCTCTAGATATGTATATTAATATAGTGTTTTTCAAAATGTATATAATATGTATTGAATATATTAATTTTTGTAAACATATATAAACATAATAATATATTAATGACATATTAATATTTGATATAATATATATGTATATATAACATAAATATGTGATACATCATACTTCAGTTGATTTGTAAGCACAACGTATATTTATATTACGTATTCTAGTTTATATTATATCATTTACTTATGTCACATAATAAAAAGGCATTCCCGTCTTTACAATCTACAATCAACTAAGTATATCATTATTTAAGCGAATCTAGGTTTTAATATTACATTTATGTACCAATATTATTACGCACAAATTTAATATTCTGGATACTGAGTATATGTATTAATATATCTGTCATTAATGTACTAATATATTAATATATATAATCACTAAAATGTAAATTTTTAATACATAAATAAATATTCTTAAAATTTTTTATCATTTTCAGAGAGGAAGATATTATCTATGATGAAAAGTTAGATTCTGCTGCGCGTAAAGTCGATGTAGCCCGCATAATAGGATTTAAAGTGTTACAGGAATGGTTTTACAATATTTATGAGTTAGTTCGGACATCATACAAATCATTTTGGTTTAACGATTGTTTTATTAGATTCTTTGGAACATATACCGTCCATAAGGTTATTTTAAAATATTTTTAACGCTATTCATTTCTCTTTCCATTCGCAAGCAAAGCAATATTCTAAGATATATATTTTGCATGCGGTTTATATAATTTTATATTTTTTATATAAAATAGAAACTTTTATATACATCATTTCTTTTATAAAAATTTTGACGTTTCTTAAAAAAAAAATCTTTTTCTAGAAAGATTAATTTTACAAGTAAATATGCCATACATACACATCAAGATAATATCAAATGTTTCCTTATATTTTCATTATTTATTTTGTTAAAGTTGCTATGCTAATCTTATTAGAAAATTTTAAGTATTATTATAAAATTTCAATTAAAATACATTATTACTTAAAAATTAATACGTATCTACGAAATTAATCCTTACAGTAGATACTGTGTATATGTGTGTATAATTTTAAAATAATTTCAAAAGTATCTTAAATAAAAAAGTTATATTACACATTATGCTAAAGAAACATAATTATTATATTTTTTAAGAACATAAAAATATAAGCAATAATATTTTTTTAATTGTAGAAAGTAGCATCTAGTGCATATTACTAATATGAATATTTTTTACGATTCCATATTGATATTAATGGATTACTGCAAAACTTTTTCTATAGGTTTTCCCAGAATTACGGATAATGGATTTGTTTGTGATACAATTTCATCACGAATCTCTTGATTTCGACACTAATTATGATACTTTTCCGTTCAACGATTCTTTTGAGTTTCCCGGTTGCATTAAAGGTATGACAATATAAATAAGAATTGCCCGTTTTATGAACATAAATATTATAAAGAAATTGGAAAAACTAATGACGAAGAGACATAATTAAATTTTAATCATACATATATTACCCTTATTATAAAATATGTATGTTATGGATGTATTTAAACATGCATTCTTTTATTTATGTTTAAATATATATATTTATGTAGTATCTATTATGTTGCGGATGTTGAAAAACATACTTACCGAAAAGATATTTTGGAGCGCTATCCGCACATATATAAATAAGTGAGTATTGTATATACTATACTACGAGTATAATAATAACTGTGCGAAAACTAAACATGTTAAACATTGTACAATAAGTATAAGTTTTATAAAATATTATATTTTTTATAATACTTATAATGCTTTTTGTTTTTTCCACAATTGATAATATTCGCGCGTATATATGAAAGAAATTAATTAAAAGAAAATTTTTTTTCTTATTGCCTTTATTTTTATTATTCCAAATTTCATCAGTTTTTTTGCAAATAATATTTTTTTTATTTTCGGCTTATTCGGGGAGCTTAATCAATGCACAATTATTATTATTTTAATTTATGTTGTTTATTTTATTTATTTATATTATATTATATAAATATTACGCAATTCTGTTTACTTCAAAAATAATAGTGTCCATCTCTAATATATTTTATAATTTTTCCAAAACACATTTAGTAAGGTTAAAATTTAAAAACTTTGTGAATTTAGCGATCCAGATTACAAAAATTTGGTGAGATCTTTAAATGAAAGTATGGATGGCACAATTCTAAGTCTTAGTACAATGGAAAAATACAAATCAGAATTATTAAACATGATTCATATAAATGATTCATGGACAAAGCAAAACGATTATCCTACTCTAAATGTCAAACGAGATTATAATCATCCTTACGGCAAGATGGAACTGTTAATAGAAAATTATAATGCATCATATCATTATTGCATATTTCTGACCTATACTATACAAACAGATCTCAATTTTGACGACATTTCATTGCCTTATTTGCTAAACGAAACGAGGCCTTTCTTTTATTTAGATACCAAAGAAGATGGTTGGGTGATATTCAATCTACAACAAATTGGTAAATGTTAGCAAATTTATTATTTATTATTTCTTTGTGTATTCTATATAATTGATGTTTTATATACATTATTTTATATTTTTGTCTGTATTATTTCATAAAATTTAAAGTATCCTACATATTATATAAATATAATAGTTTACTGTAAAAATATATTTTGAATTGTCTTATTATAATTTTGTTATTAATATAAATACCATTTATATATAGTAATGAATAACAAGATATATGGATTTTTGCAAATATTTAATCATACAGAATCGTACATAATTCTGATAACATTTTCTTGTGACAAATTTAAATATATTTTCTGATCACATAAGATTTTCGCGGTGTGTGATTTATATATGTGTATATATTAATTCATAAATAGATAATTCATCTGGGTGGATAATTCATCTAATTCTAAGAAAATTAAATTGGAAATTTTTTTTTAATTTTACTTAAAAAATTAAATTTTTTTAAAATGTAACTTTTTAAAGTAAAGTTAAATATTTAAATCTAAGCACATATACATATATGTAAATTAACTTATTATTTCTACGCAATATATCATACGATAATATGACGATTAATTGTGTTATAATCAAACTGTTAACAATTTAATTTCTTTAATTATATATAAAAATATTTGTTTATTAACAAAATATATGAATAATTTCTTATTGGCACAAACAATATCTCTTTGTAAAATACAATATTTGCCCTGTTACATGTATTTTTTGAAACTCTACGAAAAATAAATATTGACACAGAGAATCTTGATTACATTTTTAAACTTATATGTTGTCTACAGGATATTATCGAGTCAATTACGATATCGAGAACTGGAAAAGAATTGCAAATTATCTAGCCTCTGAAAATTACATGAAAATACACGTTCTCAATCGTGCTCAAATTATCAATGATGCTTTTCACTTTATGATAACAAAACAACTCGATTCCTCTATATTCTGGAAAATTACAGAATATCTGGTACGAGAAACAGATTACGTGGCATGGTATCCTATGTTCAAAGCTATGGAATACATGTCGAGTGTCTTTCCACTTCCAGGAGAAAAAGCTAATAAGATTAAGGTAGATATTAGTTGTTGTCAATTTATATATTACGTACACAATATTTGCAAACAACACACTCTGTGCCATTATTTACTGTATTAATATTTTTATAAAAAAGATGCAATGAGAGTAAATGGAAGTATGTTAATACGTATTTATATATATTTTTAACAATATTATATAATAGTTTTATACAAAAGATAAAAATATTTATTATAATTATGTGGTAAAACTTAAGATTAAGGACGACCTCACCGATTTCAATGACCTCGATATATGTTGTCAAGGACATAATTCTGAGTAACTTTTTCTTGTATTAATATTATGGCAACTATGTATCAAATATCTGAATAATATATATATACTGACTGAAATATATAAACCTACTTAATTCATGTAATTCTCTATCATTTTCTTTTCGTTTTTTGATGTAAAAGTTGATAATTCATGCGAAAATGTGTGCAGTTTTATGTCCCAAGCATCAGTCAGTCACTATATTTAATTGTTCATAACTTTGTAGTAAACAACGAGCGACGATTAAATTAAAAGAAAAAGTTACTCAGAATTATGTCCTACATAAAATATTTTTACTCATAATAACAAAAATATAAATTTTATTTTATATTTAATTTAATTTTTATTATTTAATTTTATTTATAATAATTTAAAATATATATTTTATTAATCATAAAATATAAAATTTATATTCTTTATCGTTTCTATAGATAAGAATGCGGAGCATCTTACGTGGCGTGCTTCAAGAACTTAAATACGAAGAAATTGCTAATGAAGATGATTTTAGAAAACGTTTAAGACAAGAGGCTGCAAAATGGGCGTGTTCTCTTGATGACTATAAATGCAAAGAAACAGCCAGTCGTAAATTGGAACGACATCTTACAAATCCCAAAAAGCACAAGTAATTTTGTTCATACATTCAAATACAATCTTCGGTAATTATGCAGAAAAGGGAGCCATTCCCAATTTCGATAATTTTGAAATATGTTATCAAGGTCATTGAAATCGGTGAGATCGCCCTTAATCTTAAGTTTTACCACATTTTTTAATATATTATCTACTATCGTTAATATATTAAAGTTAAACTATAACGGAGAGAGAAGAAGAGAAGGAAAACATACTATACACCCAGTGAGTAATTCCGATCGAAAAAACGTGTATTAAATGTCTCTCAGACGTCTATAAACGTCTATACATATCTAATAGCTGTCTTCCCGACCTGTGATTTTTCACTGGATAACAAATTTTTACTATTTTTAACAACTTTTATTAATTTCCACATTAAACCACATTTTATAATCATTCTTTAGATTTAAAAAATTAGCCATTTTTAACCTACTTTGTCATCTTACCCTTACATAAAATATTTTTTCTCATAATAACAAAAATATAAATTTTATTTTATATTTAATTTAATTTTTATTATTTAATTTTATTTATAATAATTTAAAATATATATTTTATTAATCATAAAATATAAAATTTATATTCTTTATCGTTTCTATAGATAAGAATGCGGAGCATCTTACGTGGCGTGCTTCAAGAACTTAAATACGAAGAAATTGCTAATGAAGATGATTTTAGAAAACGTTTAAGACAAGAGGCTGCAAAATGGGCGTGTTCTCTTGATGACTATAAATGCAATTTTGCCGTGGTGGAAGGAATGGACATATTGTAAAGGTTTGATGTTATTTTCAAAACCTATTGAATATGAAAACCTCACTTGGTCGACAATATATCGGATGGGAATGGACAAATCTAAACCTGAATTTTTAAAATTTCTAGCTTGCCCTAATGATCCAGGTTTTATTATAAATTATTTAAATTTAATAGATTATCAAATGAGGCTAGATTTTGGTTTGGACAATGAAAATTACAGTATCTGTTTTCTTTTTGCTATTGCAAGACACGCAAATAAAGATGAAGTACTTAAGCACATATTAACTAATTTTGAAGAAACAAAACCTGAGTAATATGATATTTTTTTCATAAATATATACCAATCAAAAGTTTGCATGTATGTTATACATATCTACTATATTTGTTTCTTTTAGAAAAATTAGTACTGCTATAACATTAACAGTTCTTATAAATCATTTGTATTCTAAGGAACAATTTAAAGAGGTAAAAATTTTATATGTTTATATAAATTTAAAATTTAAATTTATTTAAATATGTGATTTTTATTGTGCGAGAGATGAAACTATTATATAGAGTTAATAAATATTAAAATAATTTGTTTTATAGGTAGACAAGTTTTTGATTAAACAATTGAAGAAAGTAGAAAGTTATGCATTAAAGAGATTTGAAAAAAGTTCGGGATCTATATATGAGGATTTCGAGGTACATTTTGTAAATACAATTACTAAAATGTACTTCCTTATTAATCGTTTATATAATTTTATTTTTTTTTTCATTTAAAGTGTTTTAGTGTCATAATGTTGTGTACAATATTTCAAATAAACAAGCAAAAATTAATA